ATATAATAGTATTCATTTCATTGAAAAAAATGAAACAAAACACATTATATACAACAAAACATCACAAATCAATAAAATGAAAGGCAGCAGACAAAGAAAACAATCTTATGGTATCTGTTCCTATTAACAAACAAAATTACATTAATTTCAAACAATAATAAAACAAAATAATAGTGATGGTGAGATGAAGCTTTCCATCCAACTGGTCCCAGCATCAYCATGCTTCATTTGCTCTACTGCGCCATCAAGTGGACAATAAGTGTGAACTAGTTTATAATGACGTGACTTGTTTATGAATCTTTAAGTTGAATAAAGAAAAATACGTGTGTGTGTTTATGATGACCATAAATGAAGTCTAAATTTGATTTGAATATAATTTTAATCTCTCTTGATCATAGAATCATCACTGATCATTTGATAGAATGAAAAAAGGACAGTTGATGGAGAAAAACAGGGAAAGAGGATTGATGTGAATTCAACTCCTCAAACAGTGACTCACACAAATACAAATGAAACAATTTCATATTTCTTTAACAATTTTGCTTTGATCATTTTTTTAAAGGAATTAATTGATCCAATGCTTTTATAATCATCTTCCAGATTATTCCATAGTCTTATACTTTTTACTGAAGTGCATCTGTCCTTCAAATTTGTTCAGATTTTTGGTTTAACAAACATTTTTAATCCCTTCAAATTATAACAGCTTTCCCTTTTAACAAAATGTGATTGGATGTTTGAAGGAAACACATTTTTATGAGCTTTATACAAAACCTGCAGAATGTTATAATCAACCATAAAATCTTAATAATTTTCATTGATGAAATAATATATTTAGCTGCTTCTAACATTTAGCTAGCCTTTTGCTAATCTTAGTTACTTTTTGTTATTTTGATCTTTTAGCTACAATCTTGGTTTTAGCTATTAACTAGCTTTTTTACTATATTCAGCTTTTACCAAGTGTGTTTTCTTTTTCATTTCCTAGCTTTTTTTGCTTTTAGCTAATATTTTACTACTTCAAGCTTTTTGCAAGTGGTTTGCTACTTTTATCAATCAGTTAGCCTTTTGGATCTTTTCGACTTTTGCTAGTTTTAGTCTGTCTTGTAGTAATTTTTTAAAACTGCATTAAGTTTTAGCTTTTAGCTAGCTGTTTACTATATTCAGCTACTAGCTAGTATTTTGTTTCTGTTAGCAGTTCTGTAGCATTTTGCTTTTTATAGCTTTTAGCCAGTGTTTTGATATTTCAGATTTTTCATAGTGTTTTGCTACTTTTAGTTTATATTCTAAAACTCTTAGCTTTTGTAAGCTTTTTGCTAATCTCAGTATTAATTTGATCTTTTAGCTACAGTCTTGCTACATTTAGCTATTAACTAGCTTTTTACTATATTCAGCTTTTACCAAGTTTTTTTTATTTTTTTTGGTTCTTTTGGCTTTTTCCTAGCATTTTGCTACTTTTAGCTTATGGCTAAAAGCTTTTTCCAAGAGGTTTACTACTTAACCAATCAGTTAGCCTGTTGTTACTTTCAGCATTTAACTAGATTTTAGCTAGACTTCTGTTAGTTTTAGTTAGCCTTGTGATAATTTAATTTTTTTATTAATTTAGCTACTTTTAGTTTATAATTAATATTTTGTTACTTATAGCCTTTTGTCAGCCTTTTCTAGTCTTAGAAATCTGTTTGAATGAGTCAAACTGTGATTTTCTAACAGGGAAAATGTGACGCCATCACTGCTGTGAAGCTGCTGAGCTGTTTCGACGACCTGGTAGCGGTTGGAACAGCTTCGGGTCAGGTCACGGTCTTTCAGCTGGTGTCTCCACTTCCTGGTCGTAACAAACAGGTGAGCAGACCTGTCGTTAACAACACGACGCGTGTTCCTCTGCAGCGGCGGCGCCACAGATGTTTGTTTTTTGTTACAGCTCAGGCGTTTTGACGTCGTCGGCTTCCACAAAGGCTCCGTCTCGTTTCTGACCTGGAGCGCCAACGGCATGAAGCTGTTCTCCGGAGACGACAGAGGGCGGGTGGTGTTCTCTGCTCTGGACCTGGACCAGGTGAGGAGCGGTGAGGCCGCGGCGGCTCGTCCTCGCGCCACATCGTGTTGTCTGACCGTGTGTGTGTGTGTGTGTGCAGGGGGTGTGTAAACCTGTGCTGCTGCTGGAGGAGCCCTCGGCTGTGGTTCAGATGGAATACAGTCACCAGATGCTGCTGGTGTCCACGCAGCAGAGGTCTCTGCTGTTCTGCACACAAACACAGACGGTCTCACAGCTGGGCACCAAACCCCACAGGAGGTACCTCACACCCAAACAACACAAACACAAAATGCACTGGAATGACCTGCGTGTGTCACTCTGCTGTTCACACCTCGAAGCCACAGATGAACTCCGTCTGAGTTCTTTTTGCTGCACAGAAACATATGAGATAAATCTTGTTCCAGCAGGAATTAAATTAGAATTTTTCAGATTGAATCCGAATGTTCATAATTTGAAATTAAATGCATTGGTTTGAAAATAAATTTCACTAAATTGAAACTGAATTTAAAGTTTTGTATCTGAATTAATTTTCTTTGAAACTGTATTTTGGTTTATTAAAAATTCAGTTTGACTACCTTTTTTTGACTGCAGTGATTAATTTGACCTATATGTAGAAAATGTTACATTTACATGAC